CCCAGCTCCCGGCCCCTGCCCACCCCTCCCTGGCTCCCAGCTCCTGCCCACCGCTCCCCGGCTCCTGCCCACCGCTCCCTGGCTCCGGGCTCCTGCCCACCCCTCCCTGGCCTAAGGTAAGACTCAGGGAGCGGGGAATACACTTTATTTTACTCTCCTCTCGGTGCAATGGGCCACTTGACTGGATTTGCCCCCCAGGGTCTAAGGCTGTCAGCCCTCCCCTGCTTTTAGATCAGTTACTTTGGCCAAAAATGACAACTAGTCTCTTCTTTAACCCCATAACGCGGGCGTTCTATGCAAAAGCAGGGCTTTAACGCCAATAGGACGGCAGAGCAAAGCTATTTATGCAGAATGGTGTGCCATGCGGGGTGTAGTTCTCATTCCTGGGCTACGATACAGTCTCAAAGGCAACAGAACCAATCTGGCAAATTTCAATGTGTAAAAAATAAAATGGGAAAGCCCTATATTTAACCTGTAGCTTACCAAAACCCCCTAAAACCTGTACATTGGGTGGGGGGGGGAGGGTGGGGGTTCTTCTATTGTACTCGTGAGACATCGCTGAATACAAATATGTGTATTTTATTGCAGTAAAAGCAAACAGTATTATGACATTCACAGTTAAAATGCCATGCAGAACTTGAAAAATAACAATGTTTCATCATTTCTCACACTTTGTTTTAGATTTTATTCATATTAAATTGTGTCCCACATACAAATATTTGATGTGACATGAAAGGTCTGTTTCCCCTGAATAAGTTGATAAATAATAAGGTGCACATAATATGAAAGAGGTGAATTACAGTTGGACAGACATATAGCCCAAACTCCAGGTTTTGTTTTGATCAGAACTTGTACAATCCCCTCGCCCTTAATGGGTTAATATACTAATCCTCCAATGAGGGATTGAAAGGAAATAGATTTGTTTTTAAATTAAACATATGTAGAAAATGAGAAAAACTCATCCCTCCCTTTAGTCTATGACCGGATCCTTCCGCCATATACATACACCCTGGGTCACCGTTAGTCTCTATGGTTTTCCCAGTCTGTGTGCTGGGAGTGAAGCCAGGAAGACCATAGAGACTAACTCCAAGGTGTAGGTATATGGCTGAAGGATCCTGTCACTAGAGGTAGGGATACAGTTTTCTAATTTCCTTACATACACATCATTTAATAAAAAACAAAAAAAACTTTCATGTCAAAACTTGAAAGGATTATTATATGAGAAAGTAGTTTTGAGATGACGAATGTTTCACCTTGAATTCACTTGGAATTCTCACTTTTTTGTAAATAATCCTGTAAAATATAACAAGTTATTTATAAAACAGAATTCTGGAGCAAAGTTGTAAAAGTCTAGACGTTGTCATGGAAACCAGTGACGTTCCTGCTGGTTGATTCACTATTACGGCGTTTCAGCAGACATTCGCTATACGGAACCCAAAGCAGCATCCACGGTAAGTCCTTCATTTAGTCATTCAGCCAGGAGATACGTAGAACCGAGAGAGCTGAACGTTTTAGGATAACAAACAGAATTCACAAAACCTGTCATTATTCAAGCTCAGCTGTTTTACCCTGAAACTTGCATTTATCGTGACAGCTTCCAACATTCCGCAGTTTAACATATAAACCCTGATGATGTCACTTCCAGACTGCAATACTATCAGGGATTTTTGAAGAATGTTGCCGAGTGTAATCGAGATGTCATCGTGGTTCACAAGATTTTAGATAATGTAGTTTTAACAGTTTCTGGGGTTATTTAATCTAACAATAAATTATTGATAATATTAAATATATTTTCTCAGATCGTGTATTCATGCATGTTGTGTATTTCTGCCTCAGATTCTTACTGTCCAAGTCCTGAAAGGTATATCTGTATGCATGATGACATCACTGCGCTATCTATTAGCAAACTGATATGATGATATCACTACACTATTAGCAAACTTATAAGATGACATCAATGTGATATTAGCAAACTGATATGATGACATAACTGTGCTATCTATTAGCAAACTGATATGATGACATCAATGTGCTATTAGCAAACTGATAATGACATCCCTTTGATATCTTTTAGCAAACTGATATGATGACATCACTGTGATATCTATTAGCAAGCTGATATGATGACATCACTACACATTCAATTAGAAAGCTGATATGATGACATCACTGTGATATCTATTATCAATCTGATATGATGACATCACCACTGTCTATTATCAAGCTGATATGATGTCACTATTTAACTCATTCAGGGCTATTCATTTAAGTGGACATTTACATTCAAAGTAAATAAAAAATGTTTCCCCAAAATACATGAAGAGTACACATCTGACCTGGATTTTCCCAATTCGCTTATTTTGGTTTACAGTTTGAAATTCACTTTGAATTCCTGACAATCACACGTTAGTAAATAAACCCTGATATTATAGTAATGTTTTTTTTTCACTGGAGGTTAGGGATGCAAGCACACAGTATATTTTTATGAACACATAGATCTTCAATATGCTGATGTGCAGGACATGAAAAGTGCTGACCTACTTACTGCAAGCAGATAGAATGCAAATACTAAAATTAATGTGCTCCATTTATCAGACAAAATAATCTCTGAAACACCATTAATCTGTAGATCTGGTTTACACAGTATAGTAAAAGCTTGCTGTAGTGGATATGGTGCCAGAAGTGCCCTGCACTGCTATTCCCCATTGAAAGGAGTCAAATTGTTTTTTAATAATTCAACTTTTTATCTAGGGTCCTCGGTACATCTTCCTGCACCCACTGCAGCTCAATGTGAGCTGGGAGCTATCCTCATCGAGCTAAACTTAGCAGTGCAGCACTTAGCTCATTGGCTGAGAGTGATCAGCAGGCACTTTCAACTAACGCACTAGTCTTTCACTGATGGACTCACTGATGGCTCAGGAAAGCTAATGGAAGCTCCTAAGGAAGA